TGTTATTTTTTTATCTGTTACATGCATTTCCCGTATCCTGTCTCAGTCATGGCTTGTGCTGTTTCCCTGGTGTCTTTGGTGGTATGCAAGATTTTTAGTTTAATGTAGTTCAATGTATCAGTCTCCCAAAGGTTTCAACGCATTCCTTTTGCCTTTTTAACCTCCTGAATTTTTTTAAATGTTTTAATGTTTATTTTTGAGAGAGTGAGACAGAGCATGAGCAGGGGAGGAGCAGAGAGAGAGGGAGACACAGAATCCGAAGCAGGCTCCAGGCTCCGAGCTGTCAGCACGGAGCGGGGCTTGAACCCCGTGATCGTGAGATCATGACCCGAGCCGAAGTTGGACGCTCAACCAACCAAGCCACCCAGGTGCCCCACTCTTGAATTTATTTTTATGCACGGCATGAGGAAGGGATATAATTGTATTATCCACTTCTCATAAATACAACCACATTATGTTAGCGCTATTAATATTTTCAAATTTTTATTTTTGTCCAGCATTTTGTTTTGAAAATTTTAAATGTAAAGAAACGTTAAAATAGGGCGATGAATACCTCAATGCCTTCTGCCTGGATTCACCAGTTCTCAGCATCTTACCATGTTATACATTTTCTATGCGTCTATCTGTCTAAGCTTTTGGTTTTCACTGAACAATTTCAATACTATGATACCCCACTCCTAAATACTGGAGTACTTATTTCCAAGGAATAAGGACTTTTCAAAACAGAACAACAATCCTGTCCTCTACATTTGCTATGATTATCTAATGTGTGGTCAAATTTCTGCAATCATCCCCAAATTCCTGTCGTTTTTAAACAGATTTTAACTCTGGGACCAATCTAGGATCACACCTTACATTTGGTTGTCCTGTCTCTTCAGCTTCCTGTATGTAAAATATTACACTATTTATTTGAGAGAGAGAGAGAGAGAGAGAGAGAGCAGGGAAAGGGTAGAGAGGGAGAGAGAGAATCCTAAGCAGGCTCTGAGCCATAGCGCAGAGCCTGACGCGGGGGCTCGATCTCAGGAACAGTGAGATCATGACCTGAGCCAAATCGAGAGCCGGACACTTCCCCGACTGAGCCACCCAGGCTTGGCGTAGGGTAGGCCTTGGCGTATCCCTCCCGCAGCGCGGGATCAGGAAGCAGGAAGTATTCATTCGCCTCGTTGTTGGTGACGCTGAGTTTCGTCACTTGGTTAAGGTGGTGCTGGCCAGCTGCCTTCGTTGTCGTTAGCCCGTAATTTAGGGGACTCAAGTACACGCTGAGGGTGGGGGGAGAGCTGACTTCCACCAGCAACACAGTCACAGGGACTCTGGGGGCCTGGTCGGCCCGTCGTGTACGAGGAGCACTTGGGCCAGGCAGTGGGGACTCCCTGCGAGGAGCTGGGGTCTCGTTGCCCTGGAGCCCTGGTTCCGCGCCCCGGGAAGAGGGCTACAGGAGGAAGCAAGAATGAAAGAACGGGGTTTTGCGTTTCTTCTTCAACTGCAAAAGACCCCCCTTCGGTATTCAGGACACATCGCTCAATTTTCATAAAGCAGGTTGTAAAGGAGGGTGTATACAAGATGAGGCCTTTATTATTTTAAGAAATAAAACAGAGGGAAAAGGCAGCAGCAAGCAGCTCAGTGGTGGAAGCTTGGTTCTGCACTGGAGAGGCTGGATTTGCACCCTGGACTCTGCCTCTTCCTGGCTGTGTGACTCTGGGCAGCTCGCCCACCCTCTCTGTGCTGGATAGCCATTGTTTCTTTGTGCCTTTCCTCTGGCTGGGGAAGAGAGACCATCTCCCTTGGTAGGGGGGGAAATGCTGGACACAAGGCAGGGCCCGCCTGGTGAGGACCCAGCAGGAGGCAGGCCTGGGACAAGGGCAGTGCCCCTGGCAGCATCTGGGCCCTCGGGGACAGCAGCGAGGGCCTCTGGCCGAGGGCGGGATACTGCCTTGCCTTCGTACATCTCGCTCCCCTGACACGTGCCTTCGAATAATCTTTTCTGCTCAGGTCACCCGGAGTTGGGTTTTGTGCTGTGCCTAAGCTCTCTGACCAGGACACCTTTGGAGCCTCAGTGTTCTCGGCTGTAAAATGGCTTTGTTAATAAGGCCCACTTCTCGGCTGCATTGCCAGGATCCTTGAAATGATGGTCAAGCCTGGCCACGGTGCTTATGACTGGGTTTAACGAATGCTGGCAAAAACTGCGTGGGTTTGCTTTATGGAAAAGTCCTAGAAATGTGTATCAGAAAAGATTAACTGTTATTAGCTCCGAATGGAGGATTGTGGGTGGTTTTAATTTTAAAATTATTATTATTTCGCTCTTCTGTATTTTCTAACTTGCCTGCAGTCTGATTTGTGTTCTAAAAAGGAAAAATAAACAACCTTCCCCTCCCTGGGCCTTTGCCCTTAACTCTTCTAGCCTGAGATGTGCCGGGGTCCTTCTGGGACTGGGGGAGGCTGGCCTAGCCAGGAGTGCAGGGCCCAGGCCAGGGGTGCAGGCAGGGGGCGAGCCCCCTCCGAGCCCTGCCCACCCCGGTCTGCCGGGAGATGCTGAGGGCTGATCCCGAGGCGCCCATAAATGTCTCATAACTGTGACGCATGGCAGGGGAGGCAGAAACCGCTAACACGGCAGTCCTGTTTATTTAGAGGGGGCAGGTGGGGGCAGGGGGCGAGGGGCGGGTGGGAGGCATTTCGCAGACAGCAGAGCTATTCGGATGAAGCCAGGCTCCCCAGGGCTCCTTGCTCTGCCCGCCTTAGAGCTCACTGCAGGGGCGCAGGGAGGAGGGAGAGGCAGGCAGGAACAGGAGTGACTGCAGGCCCCACCCTGGGCCCCCCCCGGGCGGATGCCCCCTGCCTGGGGTTTCCAAGGCTGCCGTGGCCCTGGGTTAGACACTGGGCTCTGAAGTCAGGCTGACTGGGCTCAACTCCTGCCCCGGGGCTTAGCTAGTGTGCTTTCAGGACAGTTACTTCTCTCCTAGCCTCCCTTGGTGGACCTCCACTTCCCCTTCCCAGATATGGGTATGACAGTCCCTTCTGCAGAGGACAGTGGTCCCCTCACCCTGGGGCAATTTTGCCCCCGATCTGCAATGCCTACATCCACCGTGGGTTATCACACCAGAGAAGGGGGTGCTAGGATGCCGCTAGACATCATAGGGTGCAGAGGACCACCTCCCGCCACCCTCCTCCCAGAAGCATCCAGCCCTGAGGTCAAAGGCACTGAGGTGGAGAAGCCTGTCCTGGGTGAAGATGAGCATTTAGTGCCACAAAGCGTGCACGGCGCCCGCAGATGGCGGCTCACATCCAAGCCGGGGCACGGGGACCTTGGCCTCTTGACCTCTCAGAAGCAGGTGTCGAACCTGAGCTGGTGGACGGGGCGCACTGTTTCAGAGAGGCTGGGCTACGACTCTGGGCCCCGCTGACCTTGTTTCCTCCTTCCTCCCAGCTGCCTGGAAAATGTCAGAGTTTTCCAAATGGCCGCTGGCAACTTTCCCTGCACCCTCCTGCTGAGGTCGGGGCCCGAGTGGCCTCCGCAGGGACCCGGGCTGCCGCTCTGATTTACGATGAGCTGCACCTTCCGGCCCTCGCTCAGACCAGTCCCAGGGAAGCTGACACAGCGCTGGTCCAGCTGAGAGAGGTCGGAGAGGACAGAGAGCTGCCCACCCACAGAGGCCCCTTTCCTTCTGGACCCCTCACTCAGGAGCTTTCCAGGGACACACCCAGGGCAACACAATGGAGAGTGTGTGTGGGGCCAGATGGCCCCTCCCTCACTTCTGCTGACTGAGCACCAGGGGGAGGGGTAACTGGGCCAACTAAAGCTGGGTGGGGAGTGGGGGGGGTGGGGGGGAAGGGGAGGGGCCTTTAAGGAACTTTCTAGAAGCCCCACCCATTGCTCCTGCTTCCATTTCATTGGCCAGAACTGTGCCACGTGCCCATTCCTATACACACACGGAGCCCCAGAGAGGTCTTATTTTCACTGGGAGAAGTTCTGTCAGTAAGGAAGAAGGTGAAACCACGGGGGGCCTACAGAAGGCACTTCCTTTGGGAGCTGCCCCTGCCACCTGGTGTTGGGGATGGGAGCTGAGAGACGCCAGCAGAGTAGGCCTTTGGCCTTGAATCCTATTTCATAACCAGTTGTATCTCCCCCTTCCTGTGCTGCATTACAGTCTGGTTGCCCTTGAGGCCAAGTTTTCTTGAACTGGGTTTTAGCCTTGCTTTGGGGGCGAGAGCGGGGGAGGCAGGTCTAAACTTCCCAGCCTGGAAAAGAGTGGCTGCAGGTGCAGGCCGTAGAAGCAACTGGGAACCAGAACCGATCCGTGAGGTTGGGAATCTTCTGGAAGGGAGCCGGACCTTCTTGAGAGCAAGCAGTGGGAAGTACAACCACCCAAGGGCAGGACAGACCCAGGGGACCCCCCCATGGCAAAGGGCCTCAGTTGATGGGTCCCATTCTTCAGAGTGTCCTGTCACAACTCCCAGGCTGCCGCTGGGTCCCCTTGGCCACCCCATGTGTGATCCTTGGGAGGGAAAGGGGAAGCAGAGGGGGGTCCGCTGTGGATTTCGTCTACGGATTCCAGCTCGGGGCACTGGGAGGAGGCTGACACTGGGCCTGAGACACGGGTCTGAGAGACAGACCCGTCCGGATACATACATCGGAGCATGGGAGTCAAGCTCGTAGGATGTACCACGTCACTTCACTTTGACTCCTCAGGACATCAGTGTCCACCACGTGCTTTTGAATTCAAGGACAGCTGGGGAAAAGTGCCAATAAACTTTGGACTTTTTCTTTTTTTTAAGGGGAAGGAGGAAGACAACGATCTGGGGGAGGCCCTAACAGGTGGGTCACTCCTGGCCAACGGGTGAGAGGGCTCCGCTATCCACACCGGCAGGAAGCAGGGCTGACCGCTGTCATTCACGGAAGGGCCCGGAAGCGGGGGGAAGAGTTTCTCCACGGCTATTTTGGGCTCCTCTTTAAACTCGGAACCCTGCTGAGCGGACACGAACACAGAAAGAAGACAGCTCCCGGAGGCAGCAGTGAGCAGACTCTTTACTCTGGCGGATTATACACCATCAACCACCTGTTCCGGCTCGTGTCTCCCTTAGAGGGGCCGGTGAATACAAACAAAAATAGTTCTCTACAAAACCAAGTTTCCAGCCTTCCCAACCCTCCTTCCTAACTCCCTCCCCCAGACGGTGAGTTCCTTGGTCACCAGGCCTCACGGAGTCTGGTGGGTTGCAAAGGAAAACAAAGAAAGAAGAGTTGTAGGCAACAGGAGTTCGGGGTCCGCTGGCCTACGGTAAGCCAGGGACAGGCGCAGGGGGTGTCTGCAACAGTCGCATATGTGTGTGTGTGTGTGTGTGTGTGCATGTTGGGAGGCAGACCTGGAGGTGTTGAGGTGAGAATTTCTCCCCACCCGCTGTCTCACCACCGGCAAGACAGAAAAAAAAAGACAAAGAAAAGGGTGGGGGGCGGCGGGTGATACAAAAGAAAACCTAAGACCCAAATCGCAGGCGGCTGGGGCCAGAGCCCCCCACGGCGCCCCCTGCGGCGGCGGAGGGCAGTGCCGGGGCGGGGGCAGGTGCCACTGACCCGCGGCGGGAGGAGGCGGGAGGGCTCTGCTGTGTAGCACCTGGGAGCAGCTCGGGCCGCACCCTTCTCGCCGCCCGGCCTCGGGCGCCGCCCCCCCCCCCCGGGCCCCCGGGCCCCCCGGGCCCCCCCCCCCCCCCGGGCGCAGGGTCCCCTCCGGGCCGGGCTCAGCAGCCCAGGCGGGCGGCCAGCCCCAGCAGCAGCAGGCAGCCGAGCAGGGTGGCGGGGCGCGGGGCGGCCCCGGGAGCGCGGTCGCAGTCCAGGCCGCCGTCCTCCGCGGCGGGGTCGCAGCGGGGCTGCTCGCAGCGCACGCCGGTGTAGCCGCGCGGGCAGGCGCAGCGCTGGTTCCGCAGGCAGGTGCCGCCGTGCTGGCAGAGCAGCTGGTCGTCGTCACACACGTTGGCTGCAGGGCGGACGGGCGGTTAACGCGGGCGGTGGCCCGGTCCACCCCCGCCCCCCTCGGTGGAGCTTCCGCGACTGGGACGGGCCGGGGGTGCGGGGGGCGGGGGGGGTGGGGGTGGTGGGGGTGGAGGCCCAGGGCGCCCTTGGTGAGGAACGCCCCAGCGTGGATGGCGACGGTGGCCAGGCGAGAGCTGGCCCCCGTCTCCTTCCCGCCACTGCCCTCGGCTCTCCCCGCCTACTGGCCTTGCGACGCACCCGCTCTCTCTCCTCCAGAGCTTGGCACCTGCCTTTCCCTGGGCCAGCGTCCTTCCCAGGCTAGCGCCCACTGTCCTTTCGGTCTCGCCAGGCCACCGCTTGCTCGGACAGCTTCCCGCCCTCCCGCTCCGCAAACCCGTCCTCGTCAGCCAAGTCCCACCAACCGCCAACTCCGCCTCTGCCTCCGACTCCCCGCTCGAGCGGCCCCCAGATCCGCCGCCTCCCGGTTCCCACCTGGCACCCGCGCCATTCCCCGGTCGCCTCAGGCCTCGCCCTCCGCCCCGACACGCCCCTCGGCCGCAAGCCCCGCCCCGACGCCCGTGGCCCCGCCCCCGGCCGCGAGCCCCGCCCGCCGGGCGCGCACTCACGGTAGCAGCCCTGGCGCCAATAGTGCGTCGGGAGGCAGTCGTCGCACTTGGGTCCCGCTGCGCCCTCGCGGCACTCGCAGAAGCCGGTCTCGTTGCACCGGTCGTGCACGGAGCCGATCTGGTTGCAGTTACACTCTGGACGGGCACGGGCACGGCGTGCGGTCAGGGCGAGCTGTGGGCGTCCTCCGCACCGACCCCCGCCCCGCCCCGGCCCCGCATCCCCCCCCCCCGCCCCCCCCCCCCCCGCCCTTCCCCGGTGATGCACCCCACACCGTGTCCACGTGCGCCCACGGCTGCCCGACGGGCCAGATCTCGAGGGAAGGCGGTAGCATCCCTTAGCCACTCCCTCCCCCTGGCCCCGGGGGCAGCCCCAACCCCTCTCTGGGCCTCAGCCACAGTCTGTGTAACCGGAGGGAGCGCTGAACCTTCCCAGATCCAAAGGGCTTTAAGATCCATGACAGGTGGGAGGAGCCTCATCGGGGCAGGGCGTCCGGGTCGAGGGGCTACTGGGGGAGCAGGGAGCACACAGGGTGGGAGGAGGCCTCCAGCCTCCCTCAGCCCCTTCCCTGTTGGTTTCTTGGCGGGCCTCTGCCCTGTGGGAGGGGGCAAAGGTCCCCACTCTGGGAATCCTTGAAGCAGAGGAGGCAGAGAGAGGCAACAGAGAGAGGAATGTATCCGGGAGGCAGGGAATGCCTCGACTAGGATCGGGAAGCCCCACCCTGTCCCTACAGCTGGCCAGTGTGCCATCGGCAGCACGATTCCATTTGGGTCACTTTAGAGTCGATGGAATTATCTGAAGGCCAATGCCGTAATTCAGACTGACCGCTCCAGCCCTGTGGGCAGCCCCTCCTCTGTGAAGCCAGAACTGACCTGGTGGGCGGAGGATGGGCAGCGGGATGCCAAGGGGGCTGGGCACCCGAGGACCGAGCACCGGCCTCCAGTGGAGACAGAGGCAGGGGTGGTGGGCAGCCCTTCCAGGCTGCTGGGCGCTGGCTGGGGCCTTGGGTCTGGCCTTTTGGGATGGCCTGCCTGTGCCCGGGCCCAGGGCCCCCACAGATTGCTTCTCTACCCCCAAACCAGTCCTGGAGCAGAGTGTGAAGAGAGCAGATGGAGTGCCCCCTGGGTCTTATAAGCTGGGCCTCTGCTTATGAAGCACTGGGGGGCGCCTGGGTGGCTCAGTCGGTTAAGCGTCCGACTTCAGCTCAGGTCATGATCTCACGGCCTGTGAGTCCGAGCCCCGCGTCAGACTCTGTGCTGACAGCCTCAGAGCCTGGAGACACAGATTCTGTGTCTCTCCCTCTCCTGCTCATGCTCTGTCTCAAAAATAAATGAAAACATTAAAAAAATTACAAAAAAAAAAAAAAAAAAAGCACCAGAAGGACTTTGTTGGAAGAAAAGCTTCAGCCATGAAAAATGGGTTGAAAACCTTTGATCTGGAGGCTCCTGGGTGGCTCAGTGGGTTAAGCGTCTGACTCTTGACGTCGGGCTCAGGTCATGATCTCACAGGTTTGTGAGTTCGAGCCCTGCGTCGGGCTCTGCCCTGACGGTGCAGAGCCTGCTTGGGACCCCCCCCCCCCCCCGGCTTCCCGGGGGATTCGGACACAGGGGTCTCGGGACCCTGCCCGCCCGCCCCACCAGCAGCGCCCACGCCGCGCCCCGCGGCCCGGCCCGAGCGGCTCACCGATGCACACGTTCTCGTCGTCCAGCTCGGCGGAGCCGTTGCGATAGTAGCCCAGACGGCAGTGCTGGCAGTGCTGGCCTCGCGTGTTGTGTTTGCAGCTGACACACGTCACCACGTTCAGGAAGTCGATGTAGCTGCAGCGGTTGGAGTGGCCGTAACACTCACAGTCTGGGCCGGCCGAGCGTGAGAAACACCACGGGTCAGTGGGCCAAGGGAGACCGGGCCTTCCTGCCACCCCCTGCACCGTGTATTGGGGGAAACTGAGGCACGGGGCGAGGACAGACCAGCCCGGGGCATGCAGGGAGCAGGAAGGTGCCGCGGGCCGCCAACGCTTCCCTGTCCCAACGCGGGAGGAGACAGGAGGTGTGTTCGCCCAGCCCACGGGTTCCCACCTGGCCCCGGGGGGCAGGGATTCAGGGAGGGCCAGCGGCTCGGAAGGATGCCCGTGTGATGCCGGGGCGACTGGGAATGATTCATGCAGGGAGGGTGGGTCGCGCAGCCAGCGTGAGCGCGCAGGAAGGACAGTGCCTGGGGGCGCGGCGCTCAGCGCGGGCCCCCCCCCCCCCCCGGGGCGCTCGGCAAAGGGAAGATGCGTGCATGGGTTCCGGGGCGAGATGGAATGGGCCAGGAGCTTCCTCCACATGCTGCTTTGGAAGATCACTGGACGGAAAACGCCCACCTGCCGGACCTTTTATTATTAGCCTGAGCTGTTCTGCAAACGTGACTGGCACCAGAGGGCCTCCTCTCGCACAGCCCCCTGAGGATGGGTACTGTCTTAGGGTTTGTGCCCCGGGCGTCTCTTTCCGCCCCCCTGATAGTCTTGGCCTGGCTTTGGACTCTTACTGCAGGTACACGGTCCCACCCACGCCGAGGACAGCCACCTCTGCGCCATCCTGCCGTTTCTCCCAGCCCTCCCCTTGCTCCAGGGACTGGGCGAGTCCCAAGACTCGCAGTCCCAAGACTGCCGGGCAAGGCATCCCGAATTGGCTCCCCGTCCCAAGAAGGCAGCTATCCCTCGGTGTCCCTCCCAAGGGGCTCAGCACCCCCTCGAACAGGAAAGCCAGTGTGACTGCCCTTGAACAGGCAAGACGCTGGCCGCCCTCCTGAAACACCATCTGTGCATCTCTGGAGGACCGAACCTCCCTTTCGTGATGGGAGAGGAAGGAACTGACGAGGTCTTGGTGGTCAAGGGCATGGGAGACCTTGGAGAAGTGAGCCTCGGAGCTGTGCCCAGGAGGAGGCAGTGGGCCTGCCACACCTTTGGCCTCCTGGACCTGCCCCCTCCGCCTGTCCCCCCGGGAGCAATGAGAAGGTGAGCCATCTCCCAAGTGTCTCAAGGAGTGGCACCGGTGACCCCTGTGTTCCAGCTCTTGCTTCGACCAAGACGGGCCCCTGGGCTACACCTCCCAGGGGAGCTAGGACAGGCTATTTCTGGAAGCTCCGGTGCCTGCCCTGTGCCTGCCCACTGTGCTTCTGACTCATACCTGCTCCCAGCTCCCTTGGGGAGGGAGGACTGAGGGAAGAGAGGCTTGGTTTCACCTTGACCCAGCTACTCTGGGAGGGGTTTCGGAGCCAGGCATGGGTCCTCCGTCTTGTATCACCGTTTTCCAGTGCAGGTGGGGGGAGAGGTGGCTGAATCCAGCCCGGGGCCATCCTCTTACCTTGGAATTCTTCAATGGGCACCACTTCAGCAGATTTGGGCTTGAGCTGGAAAGGTCTGGAGGCCGGGGCAGGGGCGGGGGCAGCAGCAAAGGTGCCCACAACTTGGAGAGACGAGAAATACGCTCTTTCGTCGCCACGGTCCAGCTGCCGAGGGCAGGCTGTCCGAGCCCAGGGAAAGCGCAGCGGAGGGTCCCACGGGGCCCTGGGCACGTTCACCTGCTCAGATCTGAGGGGGCACAGCACATCCGGGAGCCACGCAGAAGCAGCCCTCTGCCTCCGGTGCCCCTTCGGAGACCACTTACACACTCGGCTGGATTAATTCTCCCAAATTACTTCTCTAGCCCCAGCATCCCCCGACAGCATGCTAAGTGCTTTGCTGACGCTGAATGATTTTCTGACTGATTGCGAATATCGCTTAGCTCTCTCCTCTCCTCTCCAAACTCCCGTGGGCATCAAACCCAGAGTGTGCATCTGGCATACGAGGCTCTGGCATCTCCCTTTCTGAAGCAATCCCCACCCCCTGCTCCAGCCACAGCGAGTCCTTTCCTATCCACGGACCCCCCCTGCCTGCAGGTGTATCAAGCCATGAACCCAGACAGCACCTGCCTTCCGCATCGCAACTCCCTGGGGCCCGGCCCCATCTTTGTGAGTGAGCACGACACTATCCCGGCAGCAAAGTCGGCTCCGCTTCCCTCTGGGAGTCTGCGGTGCCCTTGTCGGTCCCGTCCGGGGCAGGGTAGCGAGGGCTCCAGAGGCCCCATCACCAGGGAGGCAGTCAGGGGCCTCCAGCTGCTGGGAACCGCAGACCCTCACTGGTTGCGGCTCTGGCTCCAGAACTGCCTGCCAGCAGAGGGCGCTCAGAGCCCCGCTCACGGCTCCTGGAGGGGCCCGGGTTGCTGTCCAGACAGGCTTTCGGACCTAACGTCCAGGGAGCAGGTGAGCTGGGCTGGGAACGGCCTCCCGACTTGGAGGGTCGGGCAGGGCCCCCGTGTGCTTCAAGTGAACGTCCATCGAGGCTACAAACGAGCCTGTGCGCGTCTCCTCCCCCTGCTGTGGGACACTGAGGCTCTGGGCTTGGTATCGACACCATCGACGGCGCCCCCTGCCCCGTTGGTGGGATCCCACCGCCAAGCCTTTGCCCCGGCTGGTCCCGCCGCCACCTGGGATGCGCTCTCTTCCTTCATCCACCGGTAGTCGGCCCCTGGGTCTGAGGCCGCCACCCCATTCCTGCAGGAGGGCCTGACCCTCTCCGAACTCCCCTCTCTGCCCTGGGGGGTCCTGTAGCTGACAGTGGCAGGGCAGGATTCCCGTGGTCAGGGCAGAGTCCCCACTTAGCTCCGAAGCCCATGGGGGGGAGTGTAGGATTAACATGGGTTGCGTCTGGTGTCGTCACACTGGATCCCTCTAAGAAGGTGAGCGCTGGGGTGTGAGCAGATGGCTCTCCGAGGCCCCTCCCCTCAGCTCCCGAGCCACCACCACCCCCACCCCCCCCACCCCCCCCTCCCCCGCCTCCCGGCACCTACACCTGCTAACTCTGCTACATAGGGAGGGGCCTGCGGTCTAAGGAACTTTCCCACCCCCATACCTTCTGCACTGGAGGGCATCTGGGGCCCGGGGGAGCTCTCCCCGAGGGGGGCAGCTGTAGATGGCCTGATCCACTCTTGGGGGGAAGAAAAGGAGAAGCCCAGTTATGCGACAGGGTGGGGCTGGGGGATCTGGGGGGCACCCGGAGTCATCACACACCCATAGGACCCTTAGCAGAAGCAGCACGGTCTACACTGGCCAAGTGGAACTGGGTCCAGGTCTAGGGGAGAGGCAGCGTCTACACCTACTACAGCCTGTGACCTGAAGCCAGAGAAGAGGGGGGCGGGGCTGAGCCCAAGAACCTGCACACTTTGGGCCGTCCTTTCTTCCACGGGACACCTGATGATACGACCCTTCTGCCCTCCCTGTGTTGTCCCCGAACCTACTGAGGGTAGAGAGGGATCCAGTCCCGTATTTGGGCGCAGACCTTTCTGTGCCAAAGTCCCTGGCTGATGGCCGTAAAGGGGAGCAGGGGTCATCAAACGTGTCCAGAACGGTCTTTGAAGGCTGCCTGTCCAACACCAACGCGGGGACCGGAGCCCCTCCACCATCTGACCCGCCCTCCCCAGCCCACAGCGTGGGCCCATTTTCGCCAGGGACCGCGATGCGAGTCAACCCCCAGGGTCGCCGTGCCTGTCCCCAAGACTAAGCGGCCACAAAGCGGGGGAAGCGGGCAGGGCTGGCGAAGGCAAGGCATGGCTCTGCACTGAATTTCAAAAGACAAACCCAGAGGGACAGGGGAGAAATCGGATTCTTTCCACTTCTTAAAGGGATTATGCACGATGCCGGCTGGTGGGGAGAGACAGAAAATCTACCAGCTAAAAAGTGCAGGAGACTTTCCAGCTGGGCGCTGGGAGCCTTTGGGCATCGAATTGACATTAATAACGGGGCTCAGTGAGGAGAAAAGGCTGCAGGACCCAAATTGGCAAGGGCTTAATTAGAGCCGAAACAAAAGCAGCCCCGGAGCCTTTTTGCTTTAGAGCCTTTCTCCCACCACTCTCTGCGGGCAAGGATTAGTGGTCCTGAGCAGCTCTTCCTGCCCCACAGCCTCTGCCCTCCAGACAGCTAGACATCGGCAAGACGGAGAAACATCTGGTCCAGAGGGTCACAGGCCCAGCTGGACTCCGGTCAAAGAGTCTGAAGCACCTGTCGGGAGGCACGTGGGGGGACTCAGGACCTTTCTGGGGGCTGGGAGCCGGGGGCAAGAAAGACCCCTGGCTGGGCTCTCTGGGACACGCTCCGGTGCGCGGGAAGAACAGTCTCACCGCGGCCTGTCTCGTGTGCCAAGGCCAGATGGAGGTCCCTTCTGTTCCTTGGGAATCAGGGAATGGCTCCAGCTGGGGGGTGGGTTGGGGTGGTGCTGGGTGGCCGTGGAGGCAGCTATCTCTCCTCTGGAGTCGGTGAGCCCCGAGTTCGAATCCTCCCTGCGCGTCTCTGTAATCCTATTTATTACCTTGAGCAGCTGCCTCTTTCTTTCTTCTCAAACAGCTTTATTGAAGTATAGTTTACGTGCCATGAACTCCACCTGCTTCTTCCCAAGCCTTAACATCCTCACCTGTGGGACCAGGAACTAACGGTCCTATCCCCTCCGAACTGTGGGCCCAGAAGTCCACACTCCGCCAACTGGAGGGACCGTCATTATTAGTGGGGGATCCACGTACATGGGGCCCAGGGAGGGCACAGGCTTCAGCTGCTGGGAGGAGCAATGACCTCCGAGACACGGGCTGCTGGGGTCACTGTCACTCTGGAGCCACCTCCTGCCCCAAAGCGCCCTGCCGCCCTCACTGGGGTCACCACGCAAGCTGACCACGACCCACTGAATGAGGAGTGCGCCTTCTCACCACCTGGGTCCCGGGGACCCTCGTGATTCGCACCCACCTCACCTGGCTCGCCGCCCTGATCTGAGCCTCTCTTTACCTCCGAGCCGTGCAGCTTGCCCTGAACCGCGTGCACCAAATCCGAAGCAGCTCAGAAAATGGGTTCAAGGTTACTCCATGTGTGTGTGTGTCCGGTCCCCACCCAGACAGACCACTGTGTGCAGGCAGACACAGCACCCGCTATAGTGAATTTTGCTCCCGTATCCCCATCACAGATGTTGCAAAATCAAGCACAAGCCTCAGGCGGCCAGCTTATGTCCTGGCATTCCCAGCATGGACCCGGCCTTCACCCCAAAGAGGACCCCTGGGCCAGGAGGCTCCCCTGTAACTCCTGAATCTCCTGATCAGCCCCTGCTTCCTGCAAATACCGCCCTCCCTGTGGAGAAGGGCAGAAATCAAGAGTGGGGGGGGGGTGTCACCCTCTGGGTCCCATGGAGGAGCTACGCCAGATGGCCCAAGAACAAGGGGGACTTTTCCTCCGCAGGTCTGTGCGCAGAGGAAGGAAGGGTCACGGCACCGTCTAAGGAACGAGGCGCCCCTGCCGTCTCCTCTCTGCTGCGGCTCATTGCCGAGCTCCCCTTCCCAGATGGGACCAGGGAGAATTCCCTCGGCCACGTCCTCCTGGCACCCTCCGGGAAGGATGGATCGTTTCGGACTCCTGGCATTTGCAGTGGGCGGGGACAGGACATTTCCAGCACCCCAAGCCTCGAATACACACCAATCCCAACTTCGGAGGGGAATTCGAACCAGAGAGCGGGTGTCTCCGAGCCTGTCCGTCGCTGCGGACCCCTAAGAGTGGCTGCTCCGGTCGACGCGGTGTGGGATGCTCGCCCTGGCCTAGCCCTGCCCCCCCTCGCCCCTCCCCACGCCGCCCAGAAAAGCCCAGCAGTCCCCACTCTAAAAACCCGGGCCCAGAGGTGCCCTCCTGCCTCGCTGATCAGAGAAGCTCGTCCTCTTGGCTCAGTCTGTGCTGTGCACTCCCAGGGGTCGGCTGCCGAGGCGCCGGGGGGCACAACGGGGTGTGGGGCGGCGGCGCCTGGGGCAGAGCACTGAGGCAGGAGCCCCCCTGGGAGACAGGCTTTGGGAGCACTTCGTGTGGCCTGGATGTCACTAGGCCCCTCCCCCGGTTCCTCGGTCACCCCGTTCTCTCGGCCATGCTGGTCTCGGGGATCCTCCTGAGCTGTGCTTTGGGGGGCAGGAGGTAGAAGGGTCCAGGCTAAAGTGAGCCCCAGATCCCCTGGCTGGGGCCCAGTAACAGATGGGCCCGGACGGCCTGGAGGCCCCTCAGCCCCACACTCTCGTGGCTCTAGGGTCTAGTGTTCTCTAGTCTAAGAGCCAAGCCCCTACAGCAGGTGCACATCACAGAGGTGGGGGAAAGGCCGGGACGGCGGGGCCGTAGCTGGGCACCCACCTGTGGGCTGTGGGGTGCTGGGGGCCCCGGGGGCCCCGCGCGGCGGATGTGGAGAGGGCAAGAGTGCTGGGGGCCCCTCTCATGGCCACGGTGGCCACAGGGGCTTTGGGGATGGGGGGTTGGCGGGCGCGGGGGGTTGGCGGGCGCGGGGGCAACGCAGCAACTTCCGGCCTCACTGAGCCGCCAGCATCCCCTCCAGAATCCAGCTTCCTCCAGCACCCTCTCTGCGGCAGGGAACGGCCCAGGGTGGGCTGTGGCCCCGCTCAAGCATGTCTGAAACGGGACGTGTGCCAGTGGCTGACTCGACACCGGCCAGTCCTCTCCTGCTAACTCTAAAAGCAGATGGCACTACCCACCTGGGGGGAGGGTGCCAGGATTCAATGAGGTCCTGGAAGGACCCTGCGTAGCTGGTGCCTGGTGCTGTGAGGGCTTGAGAGCTGGTGGCCTGATGATGGACGTGAGGACGACACTCACGCCCACCCCTCCCTTCCCCCCCCCTCCCCCTCGGGCCCGAGCTGGATCCCAGCTTACCTGTCCCAGCCTCACGGGACTCGGGGGACTTCTGCCGCTGGCCAAGAACAAGGGACCCCCGCCCCCACCCTGACTCTTGCCCGGCAGGGGAGGAAGACATGGGACGGGGTGGTTCGCCCAGGGGCTGCGGGGACCTTTCCAAAGCAGCACTAACCAGGAAGCTCGAGGGAAGAAATGGGAGATGCGCTGGCTGCAGGCCACAGCACAGGGGACGGGAGAGAGCAGGCGGAGGTGAGAAGTGAACGGGTGGGGGGGGGGCAGTTAGAAGTGGGGAGAGGCCGGCGGCCACGGGCCGGGGAAGCCCCTTCTTTTCTCTCCCGTTCTTGCCAGGAGTCGCAAAGAGGCTCGGGCCCCAGGGGCCTTCCCCAGGGCAGCGGGCTCGGAGCGTACTTACTGCCAACAGCAGAGCCTGCGGCGGCACCTGCGGGGGGAGAAGGAGGGTCACCGGGCCTCTGGCCACCTCCTCCCTGCACAGGAGGGGATGGCGGGGCTGGGGGAAGGAAACCTGGAGGCGATGATCCCACTTCATCCTGAGCCCTGAGAGGGAGGGGCCGCCTTAGCCCATTTTGCAGATGCAGAAATGAAGTCTCAGAGCCGTGACTTAACCCCGGGGCGCCTGCTGGTAAGTGTCAAACGCTCCACTGGGGGCTTCACCCGCACCCTCTTCTTTGATTTTGGACTCTCAGGTCCTGCCGTGCAGGTGGGGGCCTTTCTTCGGGGGTGCCACCAGGCACAGGCCACCAGGGAGAAAGCACCGCATGGGTTCCCGTCTGGGGACATGTGGACGTGGCCGAATGACTCATTGAAAAATAATCGTAGCAGCTGCTATGTGCTGAATGCTTGCTATGTGCCAGGCACGTGCCCAGCACGGCCCCCATGGGGGCCTTTCAGTCCCCACACAACCCCACAGGGCTTTGGGATGGGCCCGATTCCACGGATCAGGAAACGGGGCTCCGGGTGAAACAGCCTGTCCGAGGCCACAGGGCCGTGAGGGGCAGAGGCCCTTCTGTCCATGCGTGTCCGCGTCCCGGGGGGGTGATGGAGGTGTAGGCCATGGTCTGACCGGGGAGTCTGGAGACACCATGGTAAGAATCATCAGCACCGGAGGGAAGGAGCTGATGTTAGGCTTCCCCCCCGCCCACCCCCGACCAGGTGTTCCGGAAAAAAGAACAGGGGCAAGGATGCCCCTGGGAACCCTGGGAGGCCCTCCACGGGGGAGGCTGTGGTGTGGAGAGTGGGGTATGACCCCCCCCCCCCCGCCCTCAGTGAGCCCTGCAGGACAGCCAGGGACAGATCAGGGGACCCCTGATCTCAGAGGGCCTTGTAGGGGGACATGGGGGCTGGGCTAGGATTCTATTCTGAGGGCCTGGGGGTGAGGTGTGATGAGGGGAGGGGGCACCCTGGTGAGGAGCGCCCTTTGCTTGCAGAGGGGAGGGGACTGGAGGGGCCCTGAGGGGAGGGGCCACTATTGCAGCAGCAAGGGAGGAGATGGGGAGCCAGAGCTGGTGGTGGTGGAGGGGAAGGTCCAGAGTCAGGGGTGACCCCCCCAGACTTTCAGCTTGGCTCCCTAGGTGCTGGTGCCATTTACTGAGATGCAGACGTTGGGGGGGGGGGGTGGTGAGGGCAAAATTAGCCTGGGAGTGACTTGTTTCTGTCTGTGTCTTGGGGGCTGTTTTCTTCTCTTTGTCCTAGAGAAGGTGGGGGTCCCAGGGGCGGGGACAGCGTTAGGCTGAGGACACTAGAATCTCCAGCCTCATCTCTGCTCCCGGGTATTCCAGAAGAAACCCCTCCTTCCCCGGGGGCGGGGTGGGACTCTGGGGAAGCGGGGACCAGCTCCAGGAGCTCCCCAAAATCAAGGGGCTTCACCTGCCCCTGCAGGATGGAGGGGAGAGGGTCCAGAGGCAAAGCCTGGAGTGTGTGTGTGTGTGTGTGTGTGTGTGTGTGTGTGTGTGCGCGCGCGTGCCCGTTGCTGGCTGGACAGAGCAGGTGGCCTGCAGGTCTGAGCAGGTCTGTGAGACTGTCAGTGCCTCGTCAGGAGACTCCGGCAGATCCTTCCAGGTGGAGGATGGAGAGGAGGTGGGGCAGAGAGCAGGGATGGGGAGGCCAGCAGGACAGATATAGGGAGGCAGACTGCCAGTCAGAGAGGGAGGTGACAGCCACTAAAGAAAGGCCTCAAGAACAGGTTCCAACAAAGAGACGGGTCGGGCACCTGGTGGGGAGGGAGCCGGGCGGGGTGGCTGTCAGCGCCCAGAGCTCTGGGCGCCTTTGAAGGCCCAGAGTGCTGTGAGTGCCTGGCAAGTCAGACCTTCAAAGGCCTGTCGCCCAGCACAGGCACGACATGCCTGTCATGGCCTCGCTGTGAGGCCTCCAGCTTTGATCAGCCTAAAGTCACATAAATCTTTCACGTTGGCGGAGGGAGGGCACCAATGGAGGGGCTCCTGCGGGCGCGCCCGGGCAGGCAGGTGGGCGGGTGGCCCCGGGGCAGGACGCCCAGTGGCTGGCACATAGCTTGCTGCTGGACTAAGGCTGCTGGGCCTCAAGTCTGCTCATCTAGAGAACGGGGGTAATAATAATCCCACCCTCGGGGCAGCTGTGAGAGCTGAGCGAGAAGCTGTGCGTTTGTGCCTGGTGCAGCGTCTCTACCGCAGCTCGGGGGCTCCCTGGGATTCGTCATGTCATGGAAGCAGCCATGGACTATGCTGGGGGTCCCTGGTGAGTGGGGTGCCCCGACCGTGCTCACGATGTAGGCACGGATGGGCACGCCCCAAGGAACACGTTCCCGGCCCGGGAGGCTGAGCCCGGAGGAGAGGACTGTGCAGAGAGCGAAGGCGGGGAAGGCTGCGGGGATCTCAGGCCAGGGCCTCAAAGGACCGCCCTGGAGAATGGGTTAATAGGAGACCCGCTTCCAGGAGCGAATCTGAGGGTCGTGGTGACCACGCAGCGTGTGGTGCCCGTGTGGCCGGTTGTACATGCTCCACGGACGCCCGGTATGAGGGGCGGTGCTGAAAATCACGGCCAGGAGGGAGGGAGGGGCCTCCACCACCCTCCTCCTGACACCCTGTGGTGCCTTCTCCCCAGCCCGCAGGGCCCAGAAGGGGAAGAACGAGCCGCTCAGCTGGGGTTTCCCTCTGGCCGGCGGGGGGGGGGGGGGGGGGGGCTGTGGCCGCTCGGTCCTTACGTACACGCGTTGGGAGAGCCGTGGGGCAGCGGCAGGTAGGAGCCGGCGCGCCAGGACCGCGTGCGGAAGTTCCTCTTGCACTTGCCGCAGTCGGGGCCCGTGGTGTTGTGTTCACACTCACACTGCAGGCTGCCCTCGCGCACGGAGCACAGGCTGGCGTGCAGGTTGCACTTGCACCTGGGGGGACACGGAGGGCCAGAGAGGTCAGTGCACATCGGGGGCAGGCGGGCAGGGCCCCGGCCAGGAGGCTAGCACCCTCCTTCAGGACCGCAAAATCC